ACATACCCTCGATCTGATAATCACTGAACATCTAAGTCCTAATTTGATGATGGATTTATAATGAATGTCTTTAACCTCAGCCTAGCCCAGCCATCTGCTCTGTGAAGCAAGCTGGCACTTCAAAGCCATTTTTTTGCTTCAAGGTGTCTCCTTGTAGTCTTACAGAACAAATAGTGAGTCATCTCCCACCAGAATAAAGCAGGATTGTAACCTAGCTCGGCGTGAATGCCCCCTAGGAAAGACAGGTTGCAGAGAGCACCACAGTCGAATACAATAATAACCTTTCCACTGAGGACAACAAAGACTTGTCAGAGCAAATAGTATAGCCAGACGTACGTCTTCAGCCGGGGTGGCAAAGGGGGCTGGAGTAGCCGTTATGTTAGCCAGGCTTGTGAGGGGTCATTTGTAGATTCTCCTTGGTGGTACAGGTGTGCAGAGACAGGCAGAGATTTTTCAGTGAGCTTTCTTAAAATGCAGGGGGCAAAGAAATTGGACAGGTGTTTCCTGTTTTATTGCATCCCTCTTACTGCAGGCTTCAGAGCTATGTGTTACTGAACATAGGCACCAGACTTCAGCATTATTGCTTCTCAGCTGAATCGTGGAGAGGTGACACACTAATCTCTTGAGGGATGTGTTAGGTGTGGGAATGTTTATGTTCTGTGGTGGATGAAGGGAGGGATTTTCTTGCACACAGAACTGATGATATAATTAAAACAAAAACCAGAAATAATTGCTTTGCCTGGACTAAGCTGTTGGAGCAGTACCTCTGCCATGCTGTTTTATTTTCTTACTCCTCCAACTGTTATATCAAATGATAGGAATTTTAGACTGATTGCTTGCTTTTGTTTTGATTTTAGATGATCTTTGATTTGATACATGTAGAAAAGATTTTAAGATACGGGGTCATTCCATTTTCATCCCTGCAGCATCACTGGCAGCAGTTGGTGTGCAGTACACGTGTAAGGTAGCACGCTTTGGCACAGTGTTGCCTGTAGAGCTTTGCTTACCCCTGTTACATGCACAGAAACCAAGGCTTTAGCGTAGCTTCTCTGTAAAATTCGTGGTCACGCAGGAAATTGGTTCCAAAGCTGAGTTTCAAGAGAAAATAATAGATTTCAAATTTACTTATTATTTTACCATTTGGAAGCTTTGAGAACCTGATCTAAATTACATGGCTACTGAAGAGTCCCCACAGACCCCCTACTGCATAGGTTTTTATCAAGCAAAATGCCTTTGGATTCTTCCAAGGACATATGGGCTATGTATTTATTTAAGGAAAGCTTGCCATTCAGTTACTTGCTCGTTTGCCCATCCTGAAGTCCATCTGTTCTTTTCTTAGATGCAGGAATTGAGATTTCACTGTCAGAAAGACACACTGTTCCTGCAAGTCTCCATCACGTACCCCTTTAGCAGCAAGGTAAAGACCCTGGCTCACATTTACAGGCAACAGGAGAAACCCAGAGCTTGTTCTTCCCCTCCAAGCCTTCCTTTGCACTTCCTGATTAACTTCTCTCCTTACCTGATTCATATCACCATAGATTTCTGAGGCTTTATTCTTAAGCTTTTATGGTAACTGTCCATTATTCCATTTAACAGAATGGCTCAGGAAGGGAAAGTGTCAGTTCATTAATGGAAATAATTTTTCGTTTATAAAACAGCTCTCCATCTGCCTACTGTTAGCAAAAATGAACTTTTGTCAAGTTTCCAGGATTTTGGTCTGTCTTTTATTGCAGTGCTAGAAAATTAGGGATGTCCAGTCTGAAATGGAAAAGTATAAGAAGCTTTGTCTGATAAAGTGACATGTAAGACTTGTCTGTCTTTTTTTTTCCATGTTCTTTACTAGATGATCCCCCCTGCTGCCACCTTCAGATGAAGTGATTTAGTAAGGATGGGATATTAAAGCTTTAAGATAGGGTTTTAAAATAAATGAAATGCTATCAGGACTGTAATAGTAACAGCTGCTGTGTCCACCAGCTGGGCGGCAGACTTAATCACTCAATCAAATCCCACTTTCCACAGTGCTGCACTTGTTTTCTCTACCTTCTGCCCTTTCACTAAGACCACAGAATAAACTCAACAGAGGGATGCTGTGCTGTGGTCCATAGCCGGTTCTGTCAGAGCCACGGAGGGAGAAATCTCATTCTCTGAATTGTCTGCACAGCACGCCCCGTGCAGCTGAGGTTGCCTTACCTGGAACATGCATTCTGAAGTCACAAAGTCAGGAAGGAGCAAGAGCTCAGGCTTACAGCCACACACGTGTTTTTATTTCCCTACATGCAAGGTACAGGCAGGACTATGCTGTTCAGTGCATCGCTACATACGTCAGCTGCAAAGCAGGGCATTTTGGAATCTCTTTTTGTAGACGTTGGACAAGTAGCTCTGAAGGCAGAAGTCCAGTCTTCTGTCTAGTGCTCTTTTTCATAAAGAAAAGGACCTTCTGTATTCAGCATGGGGTTGAATATTAACTATGTCAAATATATTCCATGAATACTATTGCTCTGAAAAAAAGAGAACTTGTCACTGCTGACTTTTAGGCTGGCACTATCATTCAGTGTGAGCCCAGGTACCAGCTAGTTCACCTGTCAAAACTCACTGGTGAAACAAATTATTTCCAACTGAGTCATCTCAGAAAACACCTTGTGGTTTCAAAATGTCAGATTTCTCGTTGACTTTGACCTAAGCTTTATGTAAAAGTTTAGCAAAAGGGTTCAATATTATTTCCTTTGAGATAAAACTAAAATTTTTGGTTGACAGTAATTAATTTTTTAGTTGTATCTCACTTGGTTAAAAGAGCCATTAGAAGAAAATTATTTTTGGTGAAACTGCAATCACCATTTCTCCTATTTGTGCATCAGCTACCAAATCAAGAAATTGATTATTTATTCGGGTGTGGGTTCTCACTCCAACGGTGCAGCTAACTTAGTGAGCAGCCATGGACAAGGCAGTTAACCTTTCTATTGTGCGCTTAACCATCTGTAAAATGGATATGATACTACTTACCTGTCTGACACAGTTGTACAGAGGCTTAATTTTTAATCAAGCTCTGTTAAAACACTTTGAGTTCACTGTATAAAAGATGCATGGAGAGACAAAATAGTTTTTATTGCTTTTATAAGATCTACGTTTCCAAGAGTTATATGGTGAGCTATATCAGTGTTCTAGAAATACCATCAAAAAAGAAAGAAATTATCAAGAAGCATAAGAGATGTACTGGGACGGAGTACAGACTTTCTGACAGTCTAGGGTTCCTTCGTCCCTATTAATTATACATATGGAGCAACTTGTTAATGCATTTCTAAAGACATGTTGACACAAGCTCAGACCTCCATCCTGGCAGGCAGTCTTTTGTATTAATTTAACCCTGGGATCAGAAGGAACTGGACAACATAGTTGAAGGCATTTCTATAACAACCAAAGTAGACTACTATCAACAAAACAGATTTCCTGGGTCCATGAGAGAGAAGAGGGAGTAATGGTACACCTTCATGGGGAGCTCATTATGAATAATTTCTGTAGAAGGCCCTGGCATTACGTTTCAGGCTGATTGTCCATGGAATATGACCAGGTATCATTCTCAAAGTTATTTCTCTACCCCCTATGCCCTCCAACAGTTTCAAAAATAATTATAAAAATACTTAATTTTACTAATAAAGTACTCGAGCCATTCAGGAGTTATGTTTATGATAAAATATAATTGCTTATATTTAACAGCCAACAGAAAGAGAAACCAAAAATTATATTTTAACAGATTGCCTAATATATGCTACAGTATTCCAATCTTACCTAATATTTTTAGCAAGTTTGACACTGTGTACTTTGCAGGCACAAAACCCACACGAAATTACTGTAATTACTGTTCATTTCCACAGCAGTGGAGGTGCAATGTTTGAAGTGCAATTCCGCTATGCGGAGTGACTGCATACGGAGTTTTGTGAGGTTTCCCTCTTTGTGCCTTCTCAGAACTTCAAACCACATGTGTGTTCTTTACAAGAGAATTACAATCGATTTCTTGAGTGTGTAGATAAATAAGGCCATAAAGAACACACACCTCAGTGTGCTGTGAAGCTATTACTGGGGGTGCAATGATTGGCTCACAAGATTTTTATTGTCTCTTTTTCAGACTCACTTAGAAAATGAGACTTTCCAGACAAACTGGAATAGTCTGAATTAAACAAAAAACATTACTGGAAGAGACATCCACACCGAGTCTCAAAACAATGACATTAGAAATATATTAGTTTGATTATTTTCCATTGCTGATTCATTCACAAGGAAGTCCCCCCAAAGCATCTGTAGATCACTGTGGGTGTTTCAGACAATTTATAAAATGAATTCTTAAAACAACCAAAAGACTTAAGCAAACACTTTCAGAAATAACTATTGATCCTGAGTGTGCAACTTGAGAAGTCCAGAAGAACTTGACCTTAAAGTGCTGGACATCTGCTGTCTGGAAAATGCTAAAAATTTTGAGTTATCCAAATAACTTCAGTATGTTTGAAAATCCTAAATCTTCAGTTGAGCATTACCTCTTTACCTGAAGACCAGATCTCTTCTATAATAGAGTTTCTGCAGGGAAAGAAGTTTATAAAATGTAACCTGAGACAATATAGTCATTACCTATATTATGGCTTTGTATTTTGTTGGTTTAGTGAGGTCTTTTTCCTCTTCTTTTTCTTTCCCATGCTATTCAGAAATATCCTGAAGAGCTATGAAGGTTAAAAGCTTTATCGACCAAGATATACCCTCTTCAGGCACAAAACATCTAATCCATAGTCCAAACAATTCTGCAGTATTAACCTGTAGTTTTTGCTTGTTGCTAAAATTTATGGAATAGACCAGACAATATTTTTTTTCTCTATTTACTCATAAAAATAGGCTTCTGGATAATCTTTAGGAGCAATCACGTCAGTCAGTGACACTTAGCACTGCAAAAATCCACTCGAGTTTCTATCATTCAAGTTGATTTGGTCAATCCAAGCTACACGATAGCTGTTTTTTCCCTGATTCAACCGTGACACAACCATGGAAATTGCTAAAGAGTTTACGGGGTGGGTGACTTTATAGGAGAAAAAGTTTTGAGAAAAGCACTGTTTGAACTGTGTGAGTGCAGGTGAGAACCCCTTTTAAAGGATGTTATAATACCTATTGCTTCTTTAAATAAAACTCTGCGAATTCCAAATCTCCAAGGCTTTTTACAGGAAAAGCTTAGGAAACTACCCACAAAAGCATTTGCAAAAAAGCAGAAAGAAAATGATGGAAATATATTTTTAAAACCTGAACAACTAGTCAAGATCTGCTAATGGCCTGTGGGCACTGGGAATGATGTCTTTCTAGTGGTGTTGGAAATTAGTTCATGCCACGCTCACAGAATGAGACACAACAGGAACAGATTTACCAGAGATTTCAGATGGACTGGAAAAAAATGCAACTTTATTACCCAGTCAATATTACTGATGTTTAAACAAGTGCTCGCACCATATACAGTAGCTCTGCATCTTCTTCCTTCAGGTGGAGGCTGTGCTTGACTTTAGAGAGTTAATGTTCTCTTACTCTTCCCTTTTTTTTTCTTCTTTCTCTCTCTACTACTGGCTCAGAGCACTGGCTTTCATTTGAAGGGCACAGCATACTGAGTGATGTTCACATGACACCAATGACAGCAGCATGATAAGCCTATTTCTGACAGTGTGGCAAATTACTATTATGAAATCCCAGTACAGTTGATGGCAGAGTGACTTTCAGAAGGGATCACACATAGCAAGGTTATGAAAGGCTCAGTGTTTACTGCAGTAAAAGAATATCAAGAGCTCTTTAAATAAAAAAGCTTGGGAGATTCCCAATTCATAAAACATTTGGCTGAGTATATCCAGCCAAGAGTTATATTTCTCTAAAATGAAAGGAGTAAAAATGATCAGCAAAAATTGTTGGGCTTTTTTTTTTTTACCTTTGGTGACTCGGTGAAATGTGTTTGCTAGGGATTCACTCAAAAGGGATCACCGACTTGAGGATGTCCTTCCCCATTGACATTGTTCACTTTAGGAGGTTACGAGTGTTCTGTCTCTCCACAACTGCCTCCCCATTCCATCCAAGGTCAGGATCTCCTCCGACTGTACAGTGCCTGAGTTAAAAGGACGACAAGATTCAGATTAAAAGTTATGACAAAAGCAGAATTGAGAGGAGAAATAGACAATTTATGAGCTAAGAAAGCATGGAAGTTGCCACTAAAAGAAGCATTTCTGCAAAATACAAGCTAGCACTAACCCACCTGCTGAATTATTGCCAGCATCCAAGGCTGCGTTACAACGTGGAGATAAATTATGCCCGCTTCAAACACCTTCCTTTTAAACTTATCTATAGAGTAACACAATCAGCAAAATAAAAAAGAGCAGACATTAAATGGCTCGGGTTTACGGCAGGATTTTTATCACACCAGTGAGTAGCATGGTATTTTCGTGATGAAATAAGTTTTTATTCAATTATCTAATAAATAAATATTATCTTTGTTTTTTTCTAGACTTTGTTGATTAAGTCTTTAGTTATGATAAGCCAGACAAATCACTGATTGGTTTTCTTGATTTGATTAAATACAATACCTGCAAGTTATGATTACTTTATTCATAGGCAATGTTCTCACTGCTTATCTTAATTAGAGCCTGTTTATTCTCTTTTACATAGAAGTAAGAGAAGATAAGCCATAGCACTGCTGTTAAATTTCACTTCAAGCATATTCTGACCCCCTAAATACAGAAATAATTGGTCTCTGCTACATTTAGCAGTGTTTTGGAGCACATATTTATGCTCTATTATACCCAAGGTGATACAGTAAAGAGCTCAGCATGCATATGAATCTGGTTAGGATGATGAATTGGGAAAAAAAAACCCAAAAACAACCCCCAACCCCCAAAAAACAATACCCCACAAACCCACAAAAGCAAAACAATCCCCCAGTTTTAAATCCCTGATTTTGGACTTGTTACACCTCTGTGATGTTGAGGCAAATAAGCTTTGTTTTAAGCCAGTTTGTAATAAATGTGTGCTCTAGATTTAGGGATTTTAACAATTTCTCTGCACTTCCTTCAGTGACACTACTTCATTAGCCTTGTCTCAGGCAAATATGTTTGCTCGAGTGGGTAAAATTAAATGTGTGATAAATTCAGGTCGGTCTCTCTCTTACTCCCTCCCTCCCCCTAAATTGAGGAACTATTAAATATTGGCTGAAATACACCTGATTGCTGTATGGGTACGAAATATAAAAGCCCCTGAAGTTTAGGTGGAAACCCCCTCGGTTTGTATGAGGTTTTTTGAACAGCAAAGAAGTAAAATTTATTGCCAAAAGGCCCCAAACACCTCTAATTTTCCCTTCTTAGCATATTTTTTCAGCTAGGACAAAACTCTTCAATCAGTAGATCATTATACAAAAGATGATGATTCCCTTTCCTAATTATCTCAGTTTTCTTGGCCAAGTAGAGAATTCACATGATGTTTATTCTGGGGTACACACACAATACAATCTTGTTTGTCTGCTGGCTGGAATGTCACTATTCCAGTCTGCTTCGATTGCTTTTCCCAGCTGACTTAGGGAATTGATCCCTTAGTTTAGTAAGTGCAGACTTGCAGGTTTTTTTGTATCCTGCCCCTACAGAGATACGAATATATTTAGCTGATGATGGAATATGGCTTCTATATGTAGGTGGCCACAGCCTGTCAGAGGTTTAAGCCAGCCGACCAAATGTCTGAAGCTAGATGTGTAGCATCAACAGCTGTCTTTTTTTAAAGGTTATTTTTCAAAGGCACATGTTCTTGGAATTTGTTTCCTGGGCGGCATGTTGTACCCCGGAGAGGCCAAGTGTTTAAATAACCTCTTCAAATATGTGTTTTGCACTTTGCTGGAAGGCCTGAAGGCAATTGTCTGTGAAATCAAACTCATGATGGCAAAAGCTTTGGTGCAAGTGAATGGATAGTTAGTGCCTTTCCCAATCTGTGAAAGGGGGAGAATGACAAATTGGGGATCTTTTTCCATGTCCAACAGATATTTGGAAAAATAAGACTTTTACCTCTGACTTCAGCGGAGCCAGAATGTCACCTGAAAGTTTTTGGAGAAGAGAAACGCTGACACTGAAGTTGGTAATAGTATATTGCTGTATACAACCAGGGCGGATGAGCACTGTTACTATTTGCAGTGATGAAAGACATACCGCTGGTGTGGCTGCAGTGTTGACCACCTTAGGTGCAAAGAAATTGTCTAATCCCAGCTGCACAGCGGGTGGCACAAGCTGCAAAACCCACCAGAAAGTTGAGCTTCAGTGCACTGTAGCCAGACTGCCGTGAGTACACAGGTTGTACTTCAAAGTTACTGCGTTCCTACTACTGCGCTGCCCTCAGAGACTTGTTTGTAGACCCGCCCATGTCTACGTCCATGCCACTGCATGCTGTCTTGGCTAATTAAACAGAGGGGAATTGCATTTGGTATCTCTTGCTAAAATGTCTCGTGATCGTTTATGGAAAGTCCCAAGTTCTGGGAAGAGAAGAGGGCGCGGGGGATATCCAGTTTTTTGAAATACGACTCTTCCTCTGAAACTAAAGAAAAAACATTTGGTGAAAACTAAAGAAAAAACATAGATAACTGCCACCATAATCTAATAACGACAGTTCTTGGCTTCAAGGCTGAGACTGGCTAATGGACAATGTGTGATTTAATCTATGAAGGAAAAAGGGGGAGAGAGGAAGAATGTCCCCCGAAACCTTGAAGTAAGGGGCATTTCTTTGTGAATCACCACGATCTAGGAATAGAATTATTTGTAATCCCAAGAGCTGCAGTTCTAAGAACCAAGTATTAACAGTCTGACCATAAATCTTTCACAGACAGTTGGAAATCTTTCCACTGTTTTCAATTTACTTTGGACCTCATTGTATGTAATGCATCTCATACTGCAGAATTCCTAATTTCCCCCTGGAAATATAGTCTGGGTCTCTGCTGTGTTTTATATATATATATATTACAATGCCATTTCCAGCAGAGTTTAAGGACCTACAATGATAAATACTAGCTTCACAGCAAGTTTTTGCTTAGGTATTTCAATGTAGTCATACAGTGGCTGATATTACAGTAAATCTGCATGTTGATATTTATTTTATATCGGCAATTTGTTGTACTCCTGACACAGGAATTCCATCACATACCTGAAAATAAGGAAATAATTACTGCTGCAGAATTCTAAAGGGAAGAAAATAATTGGCAATAGTGGGTGTCCTTAAAATAGGCCTTAAAAACGTCTGGAAGTTTGCTATGACTCAATATGTTTTAAGGAAGGAAAAATGTTTTTTTAACTATGAAGCTGGCAAATTCTACCATTTTGATTCCACAGCGGTAATCTCTGTAAAAGACATGATTTAAAAGCTGCTATTTCTCACTGTCTGAAGTTAAATACATTTTTCTATTCTAACAAATCTGAATAAAATTAGAGCACTCTGAATAAATTCACCCTGCCTCTGCGCCTGCTGTCTTAGCTTGAGGCGGAAGCAGATGACTCTGATCTCTAAGACTGTCAAACTAGCACCGTAAGCCAAAGCTACATTCACCTTAAAAAACCATGAAATTTATTCCAGCTTGGTAACAAGATGGTCCATTATTTCGGGATTTTGGTGCTGGTGTTCAGTTTTTTAAAAGGCCATCTGAATCCTCACAGGCGTTTTTGACATTTTCCCATTAATGGGGTTGGTATTTGGGGGCTTGAGAGTGCTTTGTGTTCAGTTAAACTTTTAACACCTTAGATCTATCACCAGTTCCCGGGAAGATGTTATTTTGATTTTCCTTGTTACTAGCTCTGAAAAAGGGGAAAAAAAAAATAGCACATTTCTCATTTAATATTAATTGGAATGTATTTTTCCCTGTAGCAGTTTGCTGATTATGAGATTTCAGTGCAGCTGACTGCGGTGGCTTTGCAAATAGTCCCTGTAAATAGAAAATAAGAAGCTGTTTCTGTGAAATGGCCAGCTAGAGGAGAGACTCATTCATCAGGGACCCAGGTACAGCCCAACAGCCCTGCCTAACACTGACCATGCAAACACAGGCTGACGGTGCTGTCCGAACAATCAAGCAGAACAGTTTGGTCTACGCTAACATTCTGTGGGGAGAAAGTTTAGTCAAGTGTTTAAAATATGGAAATAAGGATCAAAATGCCTGTGTGGTTTCTCCAGCTCTCCTGCTGCCTAGCTGCAGGCAAATCACCTTGCCTCCTTGTAATTTAATCACTGGCAAAGGGCTGGTTTCCCCCCGAAAACTGTGGGAGCAACATTTCTTGGCTATAGCAATGTCTTCAAAAATTACATCATGGGATGTGAAAGGTGAAAGTGCCCAATGTGTAAATCACACGAATTATTGCGACAGTGCAAACTGCTCATGTTAAAACACTGCAGGTCATTTTAGGCTGCCTTGCATCAACGTTTTCTGTCTTCCTTGTAGTGAGTGCATTGAGTATTTCCAGAAAAAAAATACTCCTTGTGAAGGAGAGCACGACCTCTTGCTACCTTGTCTGTCAGCCGTGTACCATGGTCCGGTTTTTGTGTTGACTGCCTAAAATCAAGCACAGTTTACCTTCGCCCCTGCTTTGACCTTGTTTCTACTGTAGTAGAAATAAAGAATAATACCAATGACACCTTTCATGTCCAGGGATTTCAAAACATTTGGAGAAGCTGCACCCTCTGAACAGAGATACAGCACTGTTTTAAGGAACATGTAGAAATTTCTTCCCCGTAAGAAAGAGGGGGTGCTCATTTCCCTTAGATCAAAGAGGGGGTCTATGCCCCTGGGGATAGAGCAGCGCTTAGGTTAGCACTCAGGCTTTTGCAGACCGTGTAGCGAGCCTCAGAGCCCGCAGATGGTGGGGTGTCACAGATCAGAGCCAGGAGACAGCTCCGTAAGCAGCTGTTCAATGCCAGAAAACCCAAGGCACCCTGGTGCAGTCTTCAGGGAACACTAAACCAGAGCAAATTCTGCCACCTGCTGCTTCCCTACACGTCTACAGTGCTCTTATTTTCAGAATAGACTAAGCCTTGCTCTGCTTTAACCTGGCTGAGATTTTACCGAGATTGTGTTTACCAGTGGGATTGCTGTATTTAAGCCTGCAGCACTTGAGAGGCTCGATTAAGTGATTTGCTTTCAGCATTTATAAGCAACAGCAGTAATGGAAAGTGTCCGTGCGGTATGTAGTGATATACCTGGTGTAGAATGTCCACAGCTGTTTTACAAATGCAAAGACTTGGACGGCGCTAAGCATATATTTAGAAGTAAAATTACTGATAAGGCAAAATCTCAGGGGTGTTGAGGGAGAGTGGGCTGTCCAGTGAGAGCAGTGACATAGCTAAAGGCCCTTTCAAAGCTCAAGCATCTGAGGGAACAGAAGAAAAAGGCAGGCTTGCTTGTACAAACCCGTGGATTTTTATAGCGTTCCTCTAGATATCTCAAAGAGTTTAAATTAGAAAGCTGACGCTGTGGGCAGTTATCAGCAACCAGCATGTGCAAAGCTGTAGCTTCTGCGTTACTGTAGGAATTCAAAATTGCTTTATTTTTAATTGTTAAAGTCCAAGATTTTCTCTTTGCTGGCTGCTAGGCTGAGGCACACAAGAAGCTTAGGCAAAGCCTAGCCTCTAAGCCCTTCCCCCTAAGCACTTGCTGTCTGGTGTGAGTGCTCCCCACCTTGAGGTGAACCGCAGAGGACAAGGCTATAAGCTTCCACGCCAGCTGAAGCTGCTGAAGTGCTGCTCTGAAGGATGTCAGGGTGCCACGGCAGAATGCAGTTGTTTGAAACTTAAGGGAGACCTTGGCGACATTCCTTGGGGATCCTTAACTCCCTCTCAGGCCAACCACTGTCAAGGGCAAGGGCTACCATCAGGTCAATGTTCTCTTTATATACAGTGCTAACTAAATTTAGTGTTAAATCTGCTGTGAAAATTTACAGCTTGTAATATTTACCTGACCAGCATCCAGACCCTCTTGTCCAAATATACAATTCCTTAAATTAGACACAAAATATGTCATGAGGCAGCAGCCTACATTACATATTTACAGCACTGAAGCAGGTAAGTACATATTTATGAAAGCCAATCCTGAGGTCTTATTTTGAAAAAAGTGGATTGCTTTGTTCAATGTATTTTTAAAAATTCTGACAGAATATTTAAACAATCCTAAATCTGAGAGCTCTCAGGGCCAGCGGCTGTCTCTGTATTGTCTGTTTACAACTGAGTCCTGCACAATGAGACTGGCATCCTTAGGGGTTTTTGCAATTGAAAGAATAAAAGTATGTGACAATAAAGAGCAACTCCCTATAAAACGAGTGTGCCTAGAGATTTTTTCCTTCTTAGAAAACGTTATTGCCCCCAAACAACTAGTATATTATTTATATAACAATTCCCTCATGGGTCATTGTTGAATAGAACTTGAGTCCTTCCATACACAGAGTGAATGCCCCCACCACGGCAACTACAGAATTATTTCCTTTATGCGCTGTCAGGACAGAGTTCTTCTCTACAACAAGCAGCTTAGGAGCTACCTCACAGTTACATACAGAAAAATTAATTCTTCAATATCCCAGACGTACTCCTTTGTGAAGCAATTCCCACAGACAACCTTCTGAACTTGTGTAGATTTTAAACCATAAGAAAGGAAGGCCGAAAAATCCCCAAACGAACAAGGGAATGTTTTCCTAAGAGACAGCTCAGAGCACAAATCAGGTTCCTGACATGCTGCTGCATTTTTGTTGCTTCTAGCTAATTTCAGAGACAAGTGGCTCCTTTGAGATGTGAATATGGAGTACAGATGAAGTCAGAGGTTTCTGCAAAGCACGTGTCAGGTTTTGGGGAGTTTTTGCACTTTTTGTTCAGGTAAGCAGGGCCTAACCCCCGCCTTAACGGTTAGCTTAGTCATACTGAAATCAGTGGGACTGTGCCCCTCTGTGGGATACAGCACTTCAAGTATTTGCTTTGTTTGATGAAAATCTTGATGGGACCTGTAGTTACTGCTGATGTGTAATAGTATTTCTATGAGGAAAATCGCACTGCCTAGAAAAGAAGGACCAAATATGAGTTCTTTTTAAAAGCTAGTAAATTTTTTTTTTCCTGAAGTGTTACAACCCCATATGGCAGGAAGATTATCATCATAGGTGTATTGCAAATGACATCTGCTTAGACTACTTAGATTTACAGGGGGAAAAAAGAGTATCAGTGGCGTGGTTTTAAGACGGTGCCTTTTAAGAGCTGATCAGTTCAGCTCAGTTCAACAAACAGTACAAAAATTTTTAAAAGGAAAAGGCTTGTTACTAATGGCAATTGGACATTTTCATCACCAGTATGAAAAATACGTGTTTAAATATACAACAGGGTTTGCCAGATACGTGTGCCTTGTGTAACCGCCATCAAAGAAAGCTTTTTTGTATTCTTCGGGGAGCAGGGTGAGTCTGAATCCCAGTCCCAGGAGCTGTACGTGCTTGCAGGTAGTGTTCAAAGAAATCAGTGCAATGGAATGTGCAGGTTTGGAGGACAGGACTTGGCAGCCATTGGGTCCCCTTAGGTAGTGCTCAAATTCAGACCAGTGAAGCTGTTTTACCAGTGAACTGACTTGGATAGCTCTTTTTAAGCACCTTCCAAGGAATACTTCTAACTTTCTGAAAGAGGCCTCCTGACCATGAGAACAACCTCATGTCAACAGCCTGATTCTCTTCTCCCTGAAACCCTGCCATTTAGTCTCTGTGACCACCCTCACTTCATAGCTGGCATCCACAGTCCCCAGTTACTGCAGAGCTTGCCAGCCAGAATCAGGGCTCCCTTGTCTGAGTCCCAGCCCTGACAGATTCTCAGTCCAAAGAATCTACCGTCTTGTTTATGCAGCTCATCCAGGCTGACATCGGTCTCCTTCAAGGCAAGAAATATGCTTGCTTAGAGAGATGTGCATTAATTCTAACTACCACTTTGTCTCTGTAATGTCACAGAAGTTCAATACGGGGCTGATTTCATGCAATCAAGACTGTATAGAACATTTTCATAACAAAGAGTTGTATCAAAACATCTCTTTGCTCCATGAAAAATGGAAGACCAGTGCACTCTTGTTTTCCAGTCACAAATGATCATGAGGCCCTGAGACTAAAAAAAAAGTTTCTCAAAAAAATCTTGGATAAACACGACACATCGGCAAAATGTTGTCCTTTGCATATGATAATGATTCCCAGGAGTCCCAAAGTGCTCGTTGTACATTAATGAATTATGCCTTACCACAGCAGGGTGTACCAGAATAAACATTACCTATTTACTTGTCTGGTAGTAATGTACTTAAGTTCCGAACTGGATCCATATCTCAGAGGTCTCCAAGCTCAAGAGTTTTTATCTCCAGGTCTATATTGTAAGTGGATCTCTTTTTTTTTTTTTTTTTTTTTTTTTTTTTTACAAGGTTATGCTATCATTAATATTCTCTCTTCCTGAAAAGTGGTACATCTTCAGAGTCTAGCCCAGCATTTCTGCTGTACATTTCCATTAGTTCACTGCATTTTCTATTCACTAGTAAAGGGATTTCTGAGTTATTGCATATTTTTTAAGATTTTTCTCACCTCTTTTTCATGGCAGCTGTGAACATCTAAATTGTTTCAGTTTTCACCTGTTCTTGAAGCACAGGCAAAATGGCCTGTTTTAGTGGTTTTATCTTGAATTAAAGTCCTTGTAATATCTGAAGACTGGGGGAGTTGGGAAATGTATTTGTGTTAGACACAACAAGGGTATTTATTAATAAAGGAACCTCTAGCACAGCAATATTGTAACTGGTTAGACGATATTGTTTGTCTCAGCGAGAACTGGTGTCTATGAACTACAGGTGTAGGCATCCTTCATTTTTATCTGCCATTCCCACTTCAACACACTTCTGCCAAATGCAGTATAGTACTCAGAAAACAACTGTGAATATGCTTACCTCAACCTACTGGCAATAAAACAGATGTACAGGATCAGAACCTAGGATTGACCTAATCAAAATGGTCAGCCAGAAATTATAAACGAGGTATTCTTGGTGTAGCCATGTGTTTGCAGCACTGCTTTCAGCAATGGCTCGACCTTACAGTTTTGGGGCGTTGTGTCTGGAATAACTGAGGTCAACTCCACTTTGTAAGAAGAAAAGGGGGGAAGAGCTTGATTATCAGTGCTACTCTGTGTGAAATTTTGTCTTGTAGAATATTTGAGCGATGTGTTTGAGATAAAGTTACGTTCATTCAGTTTTTTTGTTACTGGCTGGTTTGTGTTTGATTCCACCTTCACTGAACTGAGATTAAGAGATGGAGAAGCTTGGACTCTTTCTGTCATGAGTTCATCTTGAGGCTTAAGTCACCAAAAAAGCTAGCTAGATATCTGTGATGCATATTTAGCATTACCAAAGTGAAAACAGCTTATCGGTTAAACAGTTCAAAGCAGATATTTTGCTCCTGGGTATTATTAATCACAACTGACATATCTTACAGAGTTGTGCAGTTTTCTATTTAAGAAGCTCTCTATCAAAATGCATTTCATCCAGTTCCAAAATGCTTTGTTTGGTTCCTTTGGGTGTCATATTCATATATTTTACTTGTAAATGTCTCAATAGTTGAACAGATTAGAGCTGTGCTTGGGGAGCCCTGTCCAGTCAGCTTACAGACTTGGAATTAATGTCTTCATACAAATCTCACAGTAATGTGTAATTGTGCACCTCAGTAACCCCCTGTACATCAGGCTGGCCACGTCTTTCCATATCTGAGCTTTGGTTTTAGAAGCACAGTAGATAATAACCATAAATGTTTATTTTACTATAAATATTTAATAATTATGAATGATTGATGACCAGATTTTTAAGCAAACTGATAGAATTATGTGAAATTAAGACTACCTTTGTGTAATTTTCTAAGCTGTATTTTAAATATTATATGGGCTAAATATTATAAATATTATAAATATTATATAGGCTTTGTTGTGCTGTTAGTATGCATGCCTGACTGGTATTTTCATTAAAAATATTAGCACATAGGTAACAAACAGAAAAAATACACTTTTTATAGTTGTATTGGCAATAAAACTAAACTGGATGGAGTTCCTTGTGGATACAAGAATTTCTGTATCCACCAATTTTCATTCCATTGCAAGGCTTCTTTATTCCATTGTAACCCCTTCTTTATGGGTTACTTTAAAAATGCTTTTTCAACAGAATGTGTTTTTTATAGCACAGCACTAATAGCTGGCTGTGTTTCAGTGACTACTTTCACCTATTTTGCTTTCAATTTTTTCTAATTGCCTTTGTTCTCCCTGGGGCTTTGAAGCCAAAAAAACCCTATATAATACTTATCTAATTATCAGGGCTCTTGCATCTCTAAAAGATTTCATTAACAATGCTGCTTTCTGGTTCCTGCGGCCAGCCGAGGGTCTGGTTCCTCTCCTGCAGACGTTTTTGCATGTCTCCCAATTAGTGAAGAATCCCTTTGCCAATAGGTGCCACTGTTGCTCTACACACACATCTGAATCATCAGTGTCCTTCAGCTGAAAAGCCAACCTTGAAAAAGCGAACCTAAATCACAGTGAACAAAATGTTGCAGAGGTAAAAACTCTGTACAGATCATGGCCAGAGGCTTGTCCATGCCAAGACTACAGAACATGCTTTATCTTGTTCCTAAAAATAATTATATTATTGCTAATCTTGAGCAGAATTGATGAAGAGAGAAATATGCATTGAAGTAATTCCAGATATATTTAATCTAAGCCTTTAGCTTGCTGCAAGTCTATCACTGAGCCTCAGACTAATAGCAGCTGACCCTTGCAAATATCTCTCCTCTGGACCAAACGTGATTTAAACGCACAGCAGTGCAGTAAGAATTTGGACTTCTGTCAGCACTTTGTACATAGGTTGTTCACATACTTTCTTAACCGAGTAAAGTATGAGGGTGGCCATCAGTATAAAGGCCACCTACAGCAATTTCTTCTAGGTTTACTGTTTGGTAAGGTAAGGTCAGCTAACGTAGCTCACTTTGCAGCTTATCTACCATGAGGTGCCATTCAGTATGTAAAGCCAAGGGCAATCAAGGTCTGCTTGCTTACTGCATTGGGAGAAACCGTGCTTCACCTTGTCCCTAGGTATGCAGTCACTTCGAATGTTTACTTCATTCTTGGATGTTTCAGACACGTTATGGAGTAACGCAGATTTCTATTCCGCTCTTTGAAGAAATGTAGAGCAAGCTGTGTGAAAATGAAAGAAGCACTAGGGGCAATTAAAGGATTTATATTCTTTCAGGTTCAATCTGACTTTGCTTTCTTTTTTTCTTACTCTAACTATTCATTTACTAGAAACCAACAGATGAAAATTTTGTTTTCAGTGATTTAATATCTTCTGAAATATTCCCAGCCATCTGCAGGTCTGAATGTAACCCAGCAACTTCTTCTAACTAGTAGGCAGCCCTCCACCTCTATAACCTAATTCTCATTCCTTCTGCATGGAACAGATCACTCTTACATGCATGAGCAACAAGCTATATTAAGTAGTACTTAGGATCACCCTAAGCGGTTTACAGAGGCATCCCTTGCTTTTCTGTCTCTCACCAGTTGGCGGATGACTTGCAGATATTTCTGACATCCTTCATAGTCCAGGATTCTGCTAATGTTTTGGGGAAGGTGTCCCTGGTTGGAAGGGAGGACATGAGTTGTAGCTGCTTTTCCCCGCTGACGAGTAGCAAAAGCAGAAATCGGTGGGCTTTCATAGGAGGTGGTGTAGACACTGTTCATCACTCCATTTTCTTTCTTGTGCCATTTTTTCATCAGGTGCTCAAGAAGGCCGTAGTTGGTGGGTGGTTCTGAGACAAGAAATTATGAAGTATTAGAAGTTACAGAATTAAGGTTTTGGTCCTGGTGTTTTTACTCCACAATTGTCATAAGGAATATCTATACTATTTTGACAGCAGATTAAGGACAAAACAGATCTTTTTGTTCCTAGGGAATGTGTGTCTACCCTCTGGATGAAAGGGAAAATCACTGTTAGATATTGATAGGATAGCAGTGATAGTATAAATGTAAGGAGTCTTGGTTCTTCATAGTCTCTCTGGTAGATATGAAAAAAGTTAGCAGAGCTGTATATGTCACTTAAATTCAGAAACATAATAATACTCCATAAATTCTCCTGCTAGTCATATCTCACACCTCTCCTTGTTTTCACCTGACATCTTGCATTATTGCATAGGGGAGAGGAATCTGTTCATTGACACTATCCTTCACTGCCTCCTGTTGTGATTAAGTATTGTTGTATGGATACCATTTCCACTTTATCAATTAAAGAAAAAAAAAAAAAGCTACTGACTGGGTAAGAAAGTAGCAAAAAATCAGCACAAGATCCATTTTCAGAATTAAAATAGAAGGAGGTTCTTGGCTCTAAGTCTATATATTGACCACTGCACCATGTTCCATCTATTGAATTAATAATGCCAAAAACTACCAAGAATAGGGTAATCTGCTTTCTTAGGAATCCAGGCAAACTTGTATTCATTCCGGCTGTGGAGGGGAAGCAGCACAGGGTTGTAACCATGTCTGTTGTATTTATCATCATACTCTGATACTAGATTTCGGCTTCTTGGCTCATCATGATGGGTGAAGAAGTACTGCACTGGCAGGCCCTGAAATGAGATGTAGATGAAACCGTGCTGTTTGTACATAGCATTGAGATGGCGTAGTGTGCTTCTGAGTCAGCCTGTACCACCAGGGATAGCACAACATTTTGTCAGTATTTGTATTACTTCTACTTTTTTTTTACTCCCTGAAAATAAGGGCATTTGCATTTCAAGTAAAGTAAACATCCAGTTACATTAAGCAACTACATCTGTATGTCATGAGATCTGCTTAGTCTGATTTCAACACATGCACCACAAGTTTGCAGATACATTTTAGAAGTCTGTAAATGAAAAGCTGATTGTTTTGTGCCTCATAAGTGTTTCATTGTGCACTAGCATTACATATACTACCCTCCAGCTGTCTGTCAGGAGAGAATGATGAGAATATTTGGGGTGGAGAAGCACCTTGGAGAATGGGACATTCTAGCAGATGATACTTAGGGAAGAAGTATTGTTATGAAAGATCCGGGACTCATTTAAGTGCAGTTCATTCCTACAAATCAGAGGTGTGCTGATGAAAAGAATCCTTTTTTTACCAGCAAGCTCATATTGTAGCCCATGGAATGTCCTGAAGACACCATACCCAGTTCTAGCTGGTAGTAACATGATTTTCTTCACGTGCCCTGGTCGCCCCAGGCAAACAACCAAAACTGGGGAACAACCAGAAAGTACCAAGAAGTATGTGCTGTTTGTCTGCCTCGGAAAGGCATTCTACTTTAATCAAGCATACAAAGGAGCTCTGGATCCTGTAAACTGGCCGTGGAGCTGCAGTGCCCTCTTTTATGCATATAGTTGTTTAGGGATATAAAATATAATTTAAGTATTAGTCAAAGATCATCACTGTTTAGAACGCTGGCACACACAGCCCTACATTTGAAATTTCTTGTACTTACCTCAAATTTTTCCATCATGGTCCTCCTTAGTGTTTGGTCTGGTTTGTGATCTGGGAACCAAATGAAGTCTGTTTTGTATATGCTGCTGCCGAGTTTTCCAGAGTCTTTTGTAAACTAGAGAGATACATGACACTCAGTATAGCTGGGGCAATCTGATAATTACAAAAGCTCTGTTCCAGTGCTGCTTTCATCTACACATTTAAAAAGCACTTATTTGGAAAGAAGTCTGTGCTGTGTACTTTTTCTCAGATGGTGAAGTCAGCTGGTATAATCAGCCATTGTGAAATTCTAGATTGATTCCTTGGTGTAAATATAAGATACTGCAAGGGCCCTGAAAAATTATTCATGGTTTGATGTTAAATACTTTGACCTATCATGTGAACTAGCATTTGAAAAGGACGAATGAAACCTTTTTTTTTTTTTTGTCCCTTTGTTCCCACTTCTGCTGCAGCAGGCCAGTCTCTGCAATATAGCATTTTGCTAGCATTTTGCTGCAGGGAAAAAAAGAAAATCTAAAGGAAGTAATTTTTAGAGTCAGGAGGATTTGCCCTAGCAGCTCCAATATTGAACCCAACTGGCATGTTTTGACAAAGTTAAATGTCTAATGATAAAATTTTGCTCAGCTCTTAAGCAGGGCATGCAGTCTATCAAGCAGCTTTTCCAGCAAAGATGGTCTTGTTTATATAAGCAAATGAAACCAATATCCAAATTACTATTAAAGATCCTCTAGTACAAGTAATAGTAAGTATTAACATGGGTTATCAAAGCCTCTCTTGTATAGTGTTGGTAAATATCATTAAGTTGTATAGTTGTATAGCAGTCCGAAGGGATTGCCATAAAAAATGCTGCAGCATTTTTAATTGGCTAATATGATCTCCGGTGTGAACAGTATAACCCATGCTCAGGCATTGCTTCTGCCCTGGCTTAAGAGGGAAGAATGGCAGATCATAAAGAAAATTAATTAATGTAGGCCAAGCAAGATGTTATCGTCTCCCTTTTATTACTCCTCTGGGATGAGCCTGGACTCCAGCTGATGACTGCAGTAGTATACTACCTCACAGCACTGGTTCTGCCCCACTACTGCTCTCACACTTCCATCCTGATCTTACCCTTCTCCTCTCTTCCAGCCAATTTCCGATGAGGACTTCATTAGCGTATCTGGGTTGAATTTTCCACCAGTTCTGTCCATCTTTTTGCAAAGCACACATATTCCGTTGTCTCACAGCACTACCCTCCCTGGTTGTTGGAACTGTCCTTCAAGTTACGTTGGTGAAAGATTACTCAGTAGTCCAGTGCTAAAACTAGGGCAGAAAGGGGCTCCGCTTCTGTCTGTCTGTGCTGAGAAACACGGGTGCTGTGTGGAACTGCTTGTGTTTGCTGTCCCCATGGTGACTGTTGTGCCAGTGACCACATTCCAGTCTGCATCATATTTACTGTTGAACAAAACAGTAGCTCCTAACCCACTGAAGTCAGCTGGGTTTTTTTCACTAACAGAGCTCAGAATCAGAGCACAGAATATGTTTGGAAACACTGTGATATGACATATTCCTCTATACCAACACACCACACATACCTGTGTGACACACAGTCTCTCTTAACAGACTGACGCATTTTATTTTAAACAAGTGTGACAAACCAGGATGTCCGTTCAAAATAACATTGTTCTTTATTAACATAGCTAAAGAGAAGGGCTTGCAGCATGGTACAGGCTTGTATAAGGTTTGCATATTCCATGTTCCAACTAACAGCTGGAATGAGGTTCTGATGAGCCTTGTTTATCATTGTTAATGGCTGCCCTTGATTGACTACCCATCACTTGATATTAAATATCCTAAAAAGATATCTTCCTAGATTGAGGCATGAACAGACTCGTGGAATCTAAGATGTTTACTATAAGCTTTTTAGGAAGTTAACAACGCTGTCCAAACCCCTTTTCCCAGCTGGAAATGAGAAACCACAATAATCATACAGGCTTATGATTCCATGGAATCCATCCTCGAGGTGGTACCAGGTCACTCGAACACCGTTGTCCTCCAATCTCTTCTTGTAGAGCAAGCCGTCATCCCTCAGCACGTCATACTCGCAGGTCAAGATGAAGGACTCGGGCAGCTGCTGAACAATAGCGTCTTCAACTAAGAGCGGGCACAGGTTGGGCTCACAGAGTCTTTTCACTTTCTCAAAAACTTCAGCTATAAAATCAGTGGGCCTAAGTGGCTTCACACCTCTGACCTTAAATTTTTCGGGGATGTTATCTGGACTCACCCACTTCCTGTATTTCAGCCTCATATCTGGAGGAATATGAGAGCCCTCCAAGACCTCTTGCATATGCATCGCATGCCCATTTAGGTACTGCAAAGCAAAGAAAGCAGCACGTTCTCGGAATAAGAGAGGGACTCCTCGATTTTGATGATAAGATGGTAAATTGAAGTCCAGTGCCTGAAGGCCTGGGTAGATCAAGATCTGAGCACGCAGTTTGGGGAGGTCTGAGCCACCTGCAAGGGTCTGGCTAACAGCAGCTGCTAGATTGCCCCCAGCACTGTCCCCGCAGACAATTACATTGGCAGGATCCACCCCATAGTGCTCTATATTCTTCATAAAGTGTATGGTGGCATTAAGACAGTCTTCATACGCAGCAGGGTATTTGTGTTCAGGGGCTAAACGGTACCTAGTACACAGAAGAGACAACAAAAGTAAGAGAAGAAAATGTCATTAGTATTAATCAGGAAAACGGTATCCTATGCTGTCTTCCAGCCCTATCATTTTGGGGTGTTTTTCCTCCAGGTCAGGATATTCATTACCTCTTAAGCAGGTGCTCCTCAGTGATTGTGGAATAGCTGTAGATTGTGTATTCAGTCACAGGGACTCAGTAAAGTAGGACTGTCATCTGACTAAGAGCCTGACCAAGACTCTACATTTCTTAGTCATGCTGAAATCTCCCTGTGTATTCTTGACAAGGTTATTTAATAATTTTGTGCCTCTGCTTCCTATCTGTAAAATGGGGGTAATACAGTGTGATTATGCTCTCTTTTTCTTTAAATCATAATTGTTTGGAGCATCTTATTACATGTTCATATGGTCAGCACGAGGAAGACTTTTTTAACCTAAGTGTTTGATGGGCTTTTACAGACTTTCTTAGTGTGCCACATATTTCCATTTGGGTCTTTTCTGAGTATATCAGGGCATAAACAATTAAGAGTTGTGAAATCTCCGTTATCTCTATTTGTCTCTTTATGGACTTCACTAAATTCTATAGAAATTTCTTTGCAAAAAAGAACATCTTCCAAACCCGTTTAGCTCTGCTGTGGCACCACAGCAACAATAATCTCCAAACAATAGAACTGGGTAGGGTTCACTTACTGAACAGATACAACTACTGATTCGCTTTCTCTGGATATGTAGCGGCATACTTTTTCATAGGTATCTGGAAAAGAAATATTTTCATTAGTGCTCTATTGTTATATTATTGCCCTAATCTTTGAGACAACTTGGGAACGTTCATTCCAGAAAGGCATTTACCTTCAGACTTCCTTCCAAATCACATGCTGAAACCTCCTCTTATTTCAATTTTACAAAAAAGATGAGAATGCTCTTTCTACGTTATTATAATTGCTTCAGCAAATATCTTACCAAGACTTCCAAATACCCAGCCTCCTCCATGAAAGAAGATGATACCTCTCCTTCGCCCGTCAGAGGTAGCTTTAGGCTGATAAACCCTCACAGGTACTTTGTTAAACTGCAGATCCTGGATAAAGAGCTTTGGATCCACCCCTAGTTTCCGTCCCTGTCGCACGTATCGGCCAAAAGTGATTTGACTGCAAAGTCCAGTCTTCTCCAAAATCCTTCCCTGTTTTAATAGTAAAAGAAATTAAGGCTTCATTGAAAGTCTTGAGTTAGCCAAGGTATAAAAACTCTGCACTGTACTTACACTGAACTGTACTTGAGGAAAATTTTAAAAAAAAAAAAAAAAAAAAAAAAAAAAAAAAAAAAAAAAAAAAAAAAAAAAAAAAAAAAAGTGGTAATGTTGTAAAATATGAATACACTGTAAGAAGATATAATAATTACAGCACAAGAAGTTACAATAACTACCATGAGGACTGTTCGTGGAGGAGGATAATGGCTATGGAAGCATCTCCCACAGTCTCTCTAAATGGCTTCCTGTGTCCTGATAGGAGAGTTCATGCTAGTAGGTTGTTTGGTCCTTGGGTTTTGCCTTAATAAACCCGTGGAAAACTGTGAGGAAAAGTTAGTTTTCTTGATAGGAATTCCCAGTCCTAAGAAAGTGAGAGATCCAAGGACAGAGTCAGAGAACAGTAATTAAGTTTGCCTAGATTAGTTTTACCAAAATGTAGTTCTACGCTTTATTGTACCAGCTGGAATCTGAAGAGTCAGACTGAAAAATCTAGGCTTCACATACAGAAATTTGACCCCAGTTGTCGGATAAAAATAAAGCTCTCTGATTCGAGAAAAACAATTTTCCCAAGCTCTCACATCTTACAGACTGTAAAAAATTCACTTCCATTACTCACATCCAGTGTCATTCTAATATCACATCAGAAATTTTATATAGGCCATCGAAACTGTCTGTCTTGAAGTACACATTGTCAGTGTTGTGCTGCACACCTTTGTGCTCAGTCTTGTTTCATTATTACTTGGTAACGACAATTAAATGTTGTATAGAGAAAGAGCAATAAAAGCTTTAATAGTTCTTTGTTGCATAAACTAATTTTCCTGAATTAAACCATAAAACTCGGTGAATTTGGAAATCTTAAGTGCCGAGCTGTGTTGTGCAAGTTAAGTTACTGCATTTTATTTGCACAACAGATTGACTGAGCAAAATCAAGAAGCTTCCTCTCCCAGTGCTCTTACAATGATCTTGCAAGCTGGAATGTAAATCTGATGTAATAAGTGAACAAACAAGAAGTGGGAACCAAATTAATGAGTGTAATCAAACAAATAAACAGTTACAATTCAGCTGCTGAGCAAGATCGCAGTTTCAAATGTTAAACCCTTGTTGTCACCTGCTGGTTCAGGAGAGCTGGGTAGCTTTGTCAGTGAATTTCAAGAGGATGGAAACGGTGTAAAGAACAGTGTGGGGGAAAACAAGGTCTGTGTGATAGCAAAGGTGATGTGGCTGAAGAGCGAAGGAGAAAACTGAACACTAAACAAAAATCAAAAGATACCGCAAGTGACAGAGGAAGAGCTGAGGAGGGCTCTAATGCCGTTTATGCAATGCTGTAAAAGGGACTCCAGGATTAAGTAAAGCAGCCCTTAACCGGATTTTGTACCATAAATGTCAGCGGCAGGAGCAGCTGAAGGGCTGTAGTTTTCCTTGTGCAAGGTGACTTCGCCTAAAGCCGAGGGCAGTTATCAAACAAAACACCGGCTCAGCTCCGAATTGGAGACTTGAACCGCCACCGCCGCCGTTTGGCAATCTCTAACGAGCCCCGGCACGCTACTGGGGTTTCTCTGTGACACGAGCAGCGTCCCCACGGGGGATGCTCCCCCGCAGCACCCTCCCCGGGATGGGGAGCATCACCCCGGCCCGGCAGGGACATGCGGGCCTTAAGCCGGGCGCCCCCCCCGCCCCCCTCCAGCTTCTTTTTTTTTTTTTT